ACCTGTGGCTGCCCCCACCTGTCAGTGGATAACCAGATTTCACAGACAGGAAGCACTAGGTGAGGCTGGGGAAAACCACATCCCGCACCCTGTCAGTCAGTACAGGCACCCCCCCAGGGATGTGTGCTCTCCCTGTTGCTCTTCTCCCTCTACACAAATGATTGCATCTTAGAGGACTCCTCTGTTAAAAACTCCTAAACTTCGCAGATGACCATTTTGTCATCTGCAAGATGGGGACGAGTCTGCTTACAGATGGGAGGTTGAACAGCTGGCCCTGTGGTGCAGCCACAACAACCTGGAGCTGACCACACTCAAAACAGTGGAGATGACAAGGGACTTCAGAAGGAGACCTCCCACCACCACCATACTCAGCAGCACTGTATCAGCATTAGAGTCCTTCAAGTTCCTAGGCTCCACTATCCCCCAGGACCTGAAGTGGACATCCAACATCAGGACCATCACCAAGAAGGCACAGCAGAGGATGATGATGATACAGTTCTACAGACGAATCATCAAGTCTGTTCTCTGCAATTCCACCAGTGACTGGTTTGGCTCAGCAACCAACAGGACAGGAACAGACTCCATTGAAAAGCTCGAACTGCAGAAAATATAATCGGAGCCCGCGTGTCCTCCATGGAGGACTTGTACACTTCGCAGGTCAAGAGGGGGGCAGAGAAGATTTCTGCAGACCCCTCACATCCTGGACACAAACTGTTTGAATGGTGCTACAGGTAACTATATGCCAAAACAACCAGACACAAGGACAGTTCACAAACGCTCTCCATCCAACCTCACTGAGCTCGAGCTGTTTTGCAAGGAGGAATGGGCAAAAATTTCAGTCTCTCGATGTGCAAAACTGATAGAGACATACCCCAAGCGACTTACAGCTGTAATCGCAGCAAAAGGTGGCGCTACAAAGTATTAACTTAAGGGGGCTGAATAATTTTGCACGCCCAATTTTTCAGTTTTTTATTTGTTAAAAAAGTTTGAAATATCCAATAAATTTCGTTCCACTTCATGATTGTGTCCCACTTGTTGTTGATTCTTCACAAAAAATTACAGTTTTATATCTTTATGTTTGAAGCCTGAAATGTGGCAAAAGGTCGCAAAGTTCAAGGGGCCGAATACTTTCGCAAGGCACTGTATCACCTGTAGATTTCTTCTTCTACTAATATTGCAGAAGTGTAGAATATGTTTTTCTCAGCAGCTACACCTATCGTTTAGGAAAAGACTGCAGCGAGTCAAGCATGCCTCAAGTACAAGTAAACAGTTCTGGCTCTGTGTTGATGTCCCAGCTGACACGTGCCATGGCCAATGTGTCAATCATAACCAGCTACCAACTACTCTGATTTCTCTTGTCAGTGTGTTTCTGGCCTGGTTGTACAGGGTCCTGTCCCCACTTCTGTAGGCATGACAACACTGCTTGAATTTTAATGTGAACCAGGGCTTATTGTTGTTGTTGTGTGTGCAGAAGGTCTTGGTGGGCACACACATGTCCTCATAAAAGTTGATCTATGATGTCACTGTATTAGTGAGTTCATCCAGATTCAAAAGCCCTCCAGTCTCTACAGTCAAAGCATGTCTGTAGTTCTGACTTTCCCTCCTCAGTCCATCTCTTCATTGTTTTAACCACAGTGCTGTGCAGTTTGTTAATATGCTGTAGGCTTTCATTGCTGTGAGCCTCACACAATACTACACACCAACTTTGTTTTGGGGTGGAGCCAGAAATTTCAACAAATATACTTTAAACCAAGATTGTCTGACACATACCACTAGGAGTAAATAAAATCATAAAAATGTGACTTTGGGGCATTTCCATGTTTTCATGTAACATGTAACAGTAAACCATAGTGACTGCAACATACATAAGCTGATCATCTCTGTTTTCATTGGGGAGTTAAATTTTAACTTTAGCAATTTTTTCTAATAAAGTCAAACAAAGAAGGTGTGCTATTATAGACTACCATGCAATTGATAATAGCACACAATGCAAAAGCTGAAGGTCCAACTTTGTTGAGTTCTTTTAAAAATCTAGTCTGTGCTGGTTTACAGAGATGAAATGTACGGCCCCCAGCAGGAGGAAGCGAGCCAGCACTATAAGGGATGTCACAACCGGCTTAGGTAAAAACCACAGCTCTAAACTACCAAATGAAATATCAAATCTCTTCTTTGTGCATCTTGTGTCACTGCCTTTCACAATACTGTTACCTGTGTAAGACAAATCAGTATTGTTCGTTCTTTCATTTTTCCCTTTCAAAACAAAAAACAAAAAGGTGGTGTTTTTTTGCTTTTCTGTTTTAAAACCAAAACAGAAATGCAAAGTAACGTAATGTAATCTCTGAACCTATTTCTTCTGTGCACATCTATAATGGTTTTAAAACGGAAAAGGATGCCTTGTTTCCAAATTTGTTTTGAAATGGAAAAATTAAAGAACGAACAATACACAGATTAAGCTGAAAGTCTTTTAACTTTATATTTGTGTTTTGATACTGACATTTTTATTGGATGTCTGTCAATACCAGTGGTGACAAGGAATGGCGGGAAGCCTTGGATCATACTGGTAGTTGTAAATGAATCAAAACAGTAACCTTTTTAATGACACTTCAGGTGAGGAAGATGACAGCAGTTTCATGGACAGCAATGAAATTGTATCTCGCACCCAGTTCCCTGAGAGTTGGCTGTGGCAGGATATCAAACTGCCTGCTTGCTCTCCACAGCAACCGAACTGGTGAGCCAACAAAAATTTAAATTATACAGTCATAACTTCATTGAACATAGCGCTAGAATTTAAAACCACAATTTACCTTCTAAGTTTTTACAATTTTTGTTGTTTCAGTGACACCACATCACTTGTGAAAACTGTTCCGTTACAAGACTCAATCACAACCTGGCAGTTCACTGGCATCAGTCTGTCAAGAACTAAAGGTGAGGATTCAATAACTTGTTTTGTGTTTTAGTTGTGTGTCTAATTTAAAACCTCCTCCCTCCTTTAGACCTTTTTTCCTGTTTCATGACTTCCTCTATTTCTGTTATTTTTAAGGAATCTGTGTTGGAGATCCATTAGAGGTAATTGTTCGGAAGAATTTCTTCATTGACCTCAGACTGCCCTACGCTGCTGTCCGTGGAGAGCAGATAGAAATCAAGGCAATCCTCCACAACTACATCCTAAATGATGTCAGCGTAAGTCTGTCTGCTCTGTTGTTTCACGACAAAGACAATGAGACCATGATATTTTTCTCAGGAAAGTGCAAACAAAAGAAAAGTAAATATTGGTCTGATATATAACCGATGGAAAAGAAAAGAATGAATAAAATCCTTTTGTCAATCTTTGATAAGTGTAGTTGCTGCTCACATGATGGCCAGCCCCAGAACTAGGGCCACCCTACTACAATAGTTTATACTCACAATTAAATTGATCATCTGAAAACCAATTTAAAACATTACATTTCTTCAGATTAGGGATGGATCAGTGTCACATGATCTAAATAACAAACAATAATTATGATTGTTCTCAGCTGTTATTAACTGTGCTCTTCACTGTTTATGACAGGAATAATATTGTTGTTTTTATACAGTATAGCTAATGACAGAGTAGCTGAAGTTTCCAAAACAGAACAGAATTTTTTATAAATGCCCAGAGGAATCAAACTATTTCATCAACATCTGAACTACTCTTGGAGGACTTTTCTGGCAGCGTACAGGATTATGCTGAGTATGTGACCGGGTCCATTAGTACCTGCGTTGACAACATCGTGCCCACCATACAAGTCAGGAGGTTTCCCAACCAGAAGCCCTGGATAAACAGTCAGGCACACCACATGCTGTGGGCTCACTCTCTTGCATTTAGATCAGACAATGAGACAGAGTACAAAGCTGCGCCTGCTCCTACATAGTATTTGATCATCTGTAGAGAACTTGCCAATTTGCAGCTTAACTATTCATTCTGGATCTCCGGTGCCATGTCTCTGGCGTATACCTTGTGTTCTCCCCCCCAGCAAATAAAATAGAAGACATGGTAAAAGAGAGGGAATGTTGGTGAGGATCAAGTCTTACCTGGGCACTTCATCTGGACATGATCATTGCCTCTTTTCATTTGGGGTTTATTCTAAGTATGCAGGCAGTGGGAAGTAGGGGTGCAGAGGGTGCTGCGGCACCCCCTGGAGGATGGTAGAGGACCTGCATGTTCAGCACAACTATACATTTAAAACACAAAAATCTCATTTTTTTTTATACTGCTTAGTTCCAGACGAGGTCACACACGCATACACTCCTACGGGCAATTTAGTGTCACCAATCAACCTAAGCCACACATCTTTGGACAGTGGGAGGAAGCCAGCGTACCCGGAGAGAACCAAGGCAAGAACAGGGAGAACATGCAAACCATACAGAAAGGTCGCGAACCCAGAACCTTCTCGCTGTAAGGCAACAGTGGTACCCACTGCGCCACCATGCTGCCTTAAAACACAAAAATAATAAATTAATAACATTTTAATTTGTATAGGTTATGTTCATATTCTAATAATATTCTGACCTTAGTAAGTGGTTAATAATGTCTCTTTTGTTCCACATTTTCAGTTGGTTTTGCCAAACTGCACGTGTTTGTAACAAGTGTGTGACCTTACTCACTTGTTGCAAAGAGGTGTGCAACAGCACAAGAAAATGCTGGTGCAAAAGCAAATTTCTTTAGTTATTTCTTTCTAGTTACTTCTTTAGTTAGTTAGTTGTTTAGTTCTCTAGTTCTTTAGTTATTTCATCAAAATACCTCAAAAAGAGCAAAACCGAATGAATCAGAAGCAAAGCAACAACTGACAGCAGCACCAGCACCTGCAGCACACATAATGATAGCCGATGTACCTTATACTTATACATGTGCACAAAGACATTGTTGAGCAGTTGAATAGGGTCTACAAGACATGATGAAAGCTTTCATCAGTGTGAATCCCAAGTGCAAGAACACTTTTGGAGACCAATTTTTCATGCACTGCCACTGTACAGCAGGGTTAATGCACATTAGCCTAGTATTAACTGTTTGTCTGACACTTACCTGTGAAACTATGTCAGTGGCTGGTGGTCTTATCAAGATTTTTGTAAAGCTGGCTTTCATATCAGCTGGTGCATAGCCACTGCTGTGTATGTTGTGTACTTTGTGTGTATGCTTGCTGTTAGTTCATAGCCTATTTTATCAATACAACATTTACTGTGTAAATCTGGCTTTGCTGTGAGCCAATGCACAGCCACTGTTCTATGTGTGTGTCATGCCCATATTTTGTGTATGCTCAATTAGCCAACATATGTCATACATAACTGGTCCTCCAGATTAAATGACAGAATACACTGTTTGTTCATGCCCTCTAGAATGATACACAGGAGTGTTTTCTGCACTGAAGCCATTATCAGCAGAATGACATAATTTATCTGTCTTCCAAAATTGTTAGAAATTACTGCAGAAAAATAGTGATTTTATGATTGGACAACTCAGTCTTTAAAATATAGTTAGGTTTAGCGAACAGATTATGTTTGGGTTATAACTTAAATAGATATTTCTGGCTAGGGAAACACAGTTTGGGTTAAAGTTACCATTTTGTTTAATGTTGTTGTTTGTTCTTGATTTTGGACAGAGCCATTAAACTGAAAGGCAAGTTAACCTGTAATCATTATGATGAGTCACTGTAGGCGAGCAGAAAAAATAAACAGAAGAAAAAAAAATACTTTAACAAGCAACCCATACTGTTGCTTTGTTGCACACCAGCACATAATTGTAATGTAAACATAGCTGTGACTTCTAATATTTGTCTTTTTTTTTTCCAGCCTGAAGGTGTACTGGTTAAATCTCTTAAGGTTATAACTCTTGACCCAGCTAATAAAGGTGTAGGTGAGTTTACTCTTCAAATACAGTAGCTACACTGTATAGCCTTTTACTGACATTATGTTTTTATGCCTCTATGCCAGTGATACTGTAGCTGCAGCCAGAGGGATTTTTTTTTTTTGTTTTATGTGGAAGGATCCCATTATAACGAGTTTAGAAAACATTTTGTCTCATGATGGCAGCAAAATGCTGCCATTAGTGGCTTTATGCATACTGTAAAATACAATCCTGTTGGCGCCACTGTCCGGCCCATTTTTGTGAATGCGATGTGTCAGGAACACCTTGAGGGAATTTCTTCAAATTTGACACAAGTGCCTACTTGGACTCAAAGATGAACTGGTTAGATTTTGGTTGTCAAAATTAGTATATTAATTGGGGACTGTATTGCAGTATTTTAAAGATGCTTTCAAAAATACTGCTATGGACATCTTTCATACCTTCACACTGACATTAGCCATGACTGGAGGCATTTTGTTTTTGCGTTTTCCGTCCGTATGCCTGTCCCTTTTTTGTGAATGCGATATGTCAGGAACACCTTGAGGAATTTCTTCAGATTTGGCACAAACGTCCATTTGGCCTTAAGGATGAATTGATTAGATTTTGGTGGTCAAAGGTCAGGGTCAGTGACCTCATGTCTGTCCCATTCCTGTGAGTTTAAAGTGGTCATTTTTAAATCTATGCCAATGAAAATTATTTGTTATAATCACAGGAAAAAGGACACATGGGGGATTTAAATGGGGCCCCAATTCATCAGGACTCCTCAAATCGCAGTGGATGAGATTCAGTAGAGAATTGAATGGCATATACATCTGTGAAACATTACTTCTAATTATTACTTGCATTGATCCTCCAATTTGCCCAATGTTTCTTCCATTAGGTGGTAAACAAGAAGAAACTATCAACAGTGGAATTCCTATGAAAGACTTGATTCCAAACACACCTACTAGTACACACATCTCTGTGACAGGTGAGATGTACTGTTACAGTATGTTTGGGCATGTTATGTGTTACAGTGCCTGAACAATAAACTCTGTATTAGTGTCAGTTATTTGTAATGTTCTTACTGGGAAATGGGGGGAGCACCACTACATGTTTTATTGTTTCTTCATGTGGCTTCATAACATTTTGAATTTGTTTTCATGCAGGGAGAGAAAATGTTGCTCCGCTGGTGGAGAATGTCATTAGTGGCACATCAATGGGTAGTCTGATTGTTCAGCCAACAGGCTTTGGTGAGCAGACCATGATCGGCATGACCCTGCCTGTCATTGCAACCACATATTTGGACGGAACCAACCAGTGGGAAACTGTGGGCTTTCAGAGACGTAATGAAGCCATCCAACACATCAAAACCGGTAGGTTTGCAGACATATGTTTATTCTTTTAAAATTTCTGACCTGGCAGAACTGGAATAGAAAAAGTTCATTAGACTACAATGCACACTAGGCCTGCTCCACGGATCTGAGCTAGGGACATGGAGATTATACGTTAGACTACAATGCACACAAGGCCTGCTCCATGGATCCGAGCTAGGGACATTGAGATTATGTTTTCACCTTAACAGTTTGTTTTTCTTTTTAAATCTATGCCAATGAAAATTATTTGTTATAATCACAGGAAAAAGGACACATGGGGGATTTAAATGGGGCCCCAATTCAACAGGACTCCTCAAATGGCAGTGGATGAGATTCGGTAGAGAATTGAATGGCAGTTGTTATAAAGGTTGTGTGTTTTGTTTGTGTCAAGGCTACACCAGACAGCTTGGGTATCGTAAACCAGAAGGGTGTTTTTCTGTGATTACCTTTCGCGCCTGCAGCTCCTGGTGAGCCCTAAATTCCTACATAAATGTTTGCACATCTTCCTTTAACTTAGTTTTCAACTATGTAAAGTTGGGTGTATTCCACCTGCAGTTCAATGACATTAACTCTCCTCTCTTCTCTTCTCCAAGGCTGACAGCATATGTTGTCAAGGTGTTTGCCATGGCCTACGATCTGGTGGATATAGACAATGATGTGATCTGTAATGCTGTCAAGTATTTGATTCTCAACACACAACAACCTGATGGCATGTTTAGAGAGCTTGGTAATGTGATCCATG